GCAGGAAAACTGCAGCCTCACCAAGAGACCTGAGCCAGCTGATTGATGGCTTACCCTAACCCAACATGGAAAGGCTGGAGCCATCCCCATCCCCTGCTCCAGGGGTTTTGCTTCCACTGTCCTGGCACTATTCTCTCCAGCAGGTGCTCCAGGCACTGACAGACAGCGCAGAGGTTTTTAAACCAGTGCTTCCCAAACTTTTCCTCAGCATGACCCCATTTAAGGCCATATTTCCTCAGCATGACCCCTCACTCCCAATCATAGCTCCCCACCCCCATGACCCCATCCACTGATGTTGCAACCCCATTTGGGGTTGCAGCCCATAGTTTGGGAACTGCTGTCTTAGACTGCAAAAGCAAAAGCTGTTCAGGTGCACAAAGCAGCTCCCCACTCTCAGAATGCTAGGCTCAGGCTCTTGGCAGAATTGCTGATTTATCTATTAGCAACTCCTCAGCTTGCTTGTGCATGTATCAGGGGAAGCCAAGCGTCCCACAAAACTCACACCCCTCACCTCGTTTCAGCCGCTCCATGGCACTCTTGCTGCCTGCATACGTGGGTCGGATCTCTTTACCCATCTCCTCGATGACAGAAAGCAGGTCAGTGTATGTACTCTGGGAGCCCTGGGAACCTGGTGGCTTCATAGCCTGCAAGCAGCAGACAGAATGAGAAGGCCATCATCCCCAGGTTACTCTGCCCAGTATGCCTGGCTGGCAAAGGAGAGCATGAACAAAGCCATCCAGGGCAGAAGCAGAATCTCACCTGCACATAACCCATGGACGGGGGACCAAAGTCATTGAAGAGAGGCCGGAACGGGGCAGAGGCTCCAGGGACAGATCCAGAAGGTGATGGGACACTCGTGGCTGAAAGAAAGAAGCAGAAAGGGATGGTAATCTGGGTGTTAGGAGAATACCTCCAACTCCCCATGCTTCAACCAACCTGCCTGGCACAAAGGTTCCTTCACACCACTGCTGAAGGTTAGCACAATGCCAGTGAGGCTGTCAGGTAGTGCACTCTCCTACTGTTGTGCTAGAAAGCAGGGGCAGAAGACTGAGAAAGAGGAAGACTGTAAGACAAGGTACAGTTTTAGACCTTGCACTGCCTAGAAGTGCTGGTTCTCATCACTATCACTATTGCCAGGATGAAGAGCCTGTTCTTTTCCTTCTCTTCTTTGTCCCTACCCCAGAGATCAAGACACCACCCTCCCTGGCAAGAACATCCATACATGGTGCTGCCCTGCTTGAATCCTGTAGCATCAGCCTCCTAAGAGTGCCAAGTGAAGCCTATATCCTACCACAATTTTGTATTCATACAGACCAGAGTCTGACCTTCCCTCCCAGATCACAAAAGGGCCTGTCTGGCTGGACTCCTATGAGTGCCATGATCACGGCTGATGGCTCCTGAAGAGACTGCCTCCCTTTCAAACACACCATTTGAGGCAGCTGCAGCTTGAGGAAGGCCAGAGCTCCTTCCTCCTTGAGGTTCAGAGCTATCTTTTACATAACGGCCCTTCTCCTTTCTGCAGAAGTGCTCCCACTTCCTCCTTCCCAGAGTTACCCTCCAGTCTCAGTCTGCACCTCCTTCTTAAGGTAAAGATGCCTGAGCACAGACCTGGAAGCAGATGGGGCTCTTAGGGAGGGTGGGAGGAAATGACAATCAGCCTAACAGTTGGGGTTTGAGAGATCGGGGGCAGGGGGGAAGAGGGGGGAGGGGAACAGCCCCACTTGAGCTCTGCCACATAGTGGAGCCCTTCACTGGCAATAATAGCTCAGCTGTGCCAAGTTCACATGTAACCAAGGGCCCTGCTGACCTCACCCACAGGAATTTGTGGTTTTCTGTCAGCTTCCTTCAGAAAAATGTCACAAAGGCAATATCCTGCCTTGCAGAAGAGCCACCTCCTTTCAAGAGCCTCCTCCTCACAGCCTGATCTTAGATCCACTGCCCAACTCAGAAATCAGCCCTAATATTAGGTGCTCCTCCTGGACCTGTCCACCCAACACACTACCCCTTCAGCTTGCTACAGCTGTTTCTCAACACCGCCATCCCAGCCTGCACCCACCTTCCTCCCAGACTGCTGACTCACACAGGAAGTGAGTCAGAGAAACTCACCGAGTGGGACATCTTTTTTCTGCCCTGTTGTATAGTTCAGCCCAGGATGGGCCATGGCTTGAGATTGTGGCACAGCCCTCCCTGTGCCTAGCCCACACCACCACATGGTGGAACTCACTTTCTCCATCCTTGGCCTGCCTAGCTTCAGGCTGCCCCAGCCTTCCTACAGCAATGCATGTCATCTCTGCCCCACTAACTCAATCTCACTTGACAGCTCCCTACAAAATGTCTCCCAGAGTCCTTTGGGACACTAGGGTTGCAGTGATTCTTGGCCTTCTACTGTCGCACCTTGGTGCAAGGAGGATACCTCTCAATATTCTCAGGCCCAATCCAAAAGCTGCCCTGCCTCTGAAGACAGCCCTACTTATCCTGGGGAACTAGAGTGAGGAACAGGATATCGTCCTATCCTCATTGGCTGGAAAATAAATACAAATATGGAAAGCTGCCCTTGCAACACACGACCAGGCCTTAGAGCACTTCATTCTGCTCTCCTCATCATCAGGCTGCCAATCAGTCCAACCCTTTGTCTCCCTCTGTTTAATAATTACCAGTCCTCAGTCTCAAGCCAGTTTCTACCCTTAACCCATATCCCTCTCTTGGGCCTGCAGTCTCCACCCAGCTCCAATGAACTAAACTCACAGGGCCTCTCTAGGTACTTGCCATGGCTTCACAAGGCTGCTACCTTCTCCAAACCAAAACACTCAACAATACACTCCCCAAGATGCTCACTTGTAGCCTCCACTCTTCCCCTCTAGCCACCCCATACCTCACAGCTAATATAAACTGAAAGAGAAACAAAAACAACTCATCTATGAGACCCTCTGCAGAGATCCTTCTCTCTTCAAGGTCTGGGGCAGAAAGCCCCCTCCAACCTAAAAGCCAGTCTTATATTGCCCTAGGCTCCGTTCCCTTTGGGTCACCTGACATCTAACTCTCAGAACTAGGCATAGGGCATCCTCTTCACTAATTAGTAAACTTATTTCTTGGAGCCTATCTCCATGGCCTGCATGTGCAGGCTGCTTTTCCATAAAGGGTTAAAGCTCTGCAGCCAGCTTCTTTGCAAGCTGCCCCCACAGCCTGCCCTCTGTGGCACTGCATCCACTCCACTCAACTAATAAGGATCAGGAGACCCTATTACATAAGCCCAGCCAGGCACGAACAGTGCACGGATGCTGAAAGAAACCAAGACACCATGTTGGTCTGACGAAGCTTTCCTTCTCAATTCGTGGCAGAGGAGCAGCACTGCTTGCTCCTGGGGGTCACAAGCTTATGCACATGTCCTATGGGCCACAGCAGTACCTGGTGACCAAGGCCCACAAGGCATCAGCTTCAGCTGCTGGCCAATTAGCAGGTCAAGTCACCCACCACCAGCTATCCTTTACACCTGGTAAGGGAGCCCCTCGCCCCAGACAGCATGGAGTGAATGGCATTTCTTTCCTGCCTTTGGCATGAAGCTGTGCCCTCTGTTTCAAACTGCATTTTCTTGTTTGGCGACTACATCACATCACTCCAACTTCTTCTCTGTTAGACCAGTGAGGCAATGAACCAGACTGCCTAGGGAAGCTGTGAACTCTCCTTCACAGGAGGGGTTCAAGAACAGGTGAGACAAACATTGGACAGGGATGATCTAGCTACGCCCAAGGGTGCTTTTAGAGCACCAGCTAGAAGCCCAGAAGCTCCCCGACATACACCGCTGGCTGGAGATAACTAGAGGAACAGTACAGCCTAGAGCAGGCTATGCTCAGCAGCAGAACAAAGCAGAGCTCCTTGACTGGCTGAGTTACATAAGGCTAAACCAGTCAGGACAAGCTTACGGTAGGGACAGAGCAGGTCAGGCCACCCAGGGAGAGGCTGCAATGGGTGGCATTGTACATGCTGCCCAAAACTGCTGGGCACAGTGCAAAGCACCTGGTATTTCCCAAGCTGCTGGGCTTGGCTTGGCTGGGCTGGGCAGGATTCCCCACTCCTGCTGCTACACCTGTGGGGGGACCTCGCTCACCTCCCCCAGAACTGCTGTGGACCAAACTGGGCCATCCCAGGGCTCCTGCTGGGACTAAGCCCCGACGCTCCTGGGGGAGGGGCTTGCCCCCCTGCCGCGGGTCAGACAGGTCCCCACGTGTGGGCTCAGGAGCCAGGTTCCCCCGCAGAGTCAGGCGGGACCCACCCCCAGAGCCACCGTCTCGCGCTAGGACCCAGAGGCCACTTCCGGCTCGCGAAGGTTTCACCCCCCCCCCCCCCCCCGGCCAGTCCCGCCCGGGGGCTGCGCGAGGCGGAAAGGCCCTCACCGGCGGGCGGGGCCCCGGGCCCGGGGGCGGCGGGGCTGGCGCTGCTGC